AGGCCACCACGAAGGTCCCTGTGCCCGCTGCCATTTTTGACTGGACCAGTGACTCTTTAAATCCGAGTTGAAGCAGGATTGCAGACATGTCCACGCCACTGGAGGGGAAAGAGGCGAAAACCCGATTATTACAGCAAGGGATTAAATTAAGAAATCGATTTGGCTATGAGTATTTTTAAAAATGTGATGAAAGTAGCCAGATGAATAAAAAATCTTAGGGAAACAAGTGCTTATTCACAAAGAATCTTACATGACAGTAAAAAAACCAGTATTTATTACTGTCAAAAATCTCACCTTGAAACCACCATGTAAAATATGCCCAAGGAGATTAGTGAGATTCCAATGTGTAAGGACACGCCAACGGCGCCATATTCTTGAAAAACCTTTTTCAGCTGCTGTGACTTGCTTTGCTTTTTCTCCTCTGCTCTGCTGATGTTGCTGCCTGTTGTCGCAGTGATTTTGCTGGGGTCCTGTGGGCAAACCAAAGAAGGGAGATAGTAGGGCAGGAGCAAGGACGTTAGCGGTCATCACCAGCTTTCATGCCCACCCACGGTTCTCCTCTTGCCCATCCAGTGGGAGATCAGTCACCTCTTAGTTAGCCAGGCTAAGGCCCACTTAGCCACTAAGTGCAGTGAAAGGCTGGGTACTAGGTATCATTGGCAAACTGATGGCTCCAAGGATGTCCAGGTCCTAGTCCCCAGAGCCTGTGAATCTGTTACACAGCAAAAGGATTTGCAGGTGTGATTAAGGATCCTGAGATGGGCAGATCACCCTGGATTTTCTGAGTGGGACCAATGCAATCACAAGGGTCCTCATAAGTGGAGAGAGGGACGCAGGAGGGTCAGGGAAGCAGATGTGAGGACAGAAGCTGAGTTAGAGATTTGAAGATGCTCTGCTGCTGGCTTTGAAGACAGAGGAAATGCAGCCAAGGAATGCAGGTGGCCTCGAGAAGCTGGAAAAGACAGGAAATGGACTCCCCTGGCAATTCAGGCCTCAGGAGGAACCAGCCCCGCTGACACCGTGACTTTAGCCCAGTAGGACCCAGTCTGGCTTCTGATGTCCATAACGGTCCATAAATGGGTGTTGTTTTAAGCTACTAGGTTTGCGGTAATCTGTTACAGCAGCAGTAGGGAGGAAAACTCCAGGGCTCACACCCTTGAGGACAACAATGGTACTGTACTGAGCATTTTCTCAGCCAGGCAGCGTTCAGATGCTTCTCTCCACCCACTGTCTGCTTCATCCTCACAACCACCTCTGGGTAGATACTATTGTTCTTTCCACTTTACAGAGGAGCAACGCAGGCTTAGTGAGGCCGAGGAATCGGCCTGAAGTCACCAAGAGTAGAACCCAGGTCACCTGAGTCCACAGCCTGAGCACATGACGCCCATGTCAGACTCTACAAAACCAGGACAGTGGGTGTGAAATAAATGGAGCAGAGGCTATGGTACATCTACTTCCAGATTTAAGATTTACCCCTGAGATCTGAACAGATAAAAAGGGAGGGCCAATTCCCGGGCCATAAGTACACCAGCTGGGATTTGTACAGAAACAATTGGTTGCACGTGGCATCTGTTAACACTTATTGAGCACCTACAGGGCCTGGCATGTTTGGGAGAAACCAAAAAAACAACACTGGGTTAAAAAAGAAACAGAACTCCTTCTCAGTATGGAGTGCCTTTTTCATCAAAGGATTTCTTTAACTCCAACAAGAGCCTCCGACTCGCCTGGGCAGGCAGTTATCTGGGTCAGTCAGCTCGTTATTGGCGCTGCAGCAGGACGACCTCCTCCTCGTATTTTTAGAGCGTGCTGCAGCTGAGCAAGAGGCAGGAGCATGGCGCCCAGAGTCCCCAGGAGGGAGGGCTCCCCGGGGAGCCCCGGACTGAAAATAATGGGACTCCCCAGTCCCCGTTATTTCATTCCGGGACTCCCCGGAATGAAAATAATGAAATCACCAGGGCGCAGCGCTGCAGCGGCCTCTAAGTGCAACAAGGCGAGCCCTGGCTGCGGGGCCCGCCCAGCCCCACCCCGGCCCTGCTCAGGAGCCCCTGCTGCTGTAGGCAGGTGGGAGCTCTGACCATGCTTGGCTGGGGTGGGCCCCAGATGCCGATTTCCCCAGGAGCTCCCAGGTGGCCCAGATGCTGCTGGTCTGTTTGTACCTACATCCAGGTGCCCAGCCTCTGATTTTATAGCCCTGGGGTGAAGCCTGGGCACTGGGATTAGTTATCTGTGCCCCAAGTGATTCTAATGTGATCAGCCAGGCTGCCAGGTGAACCCCTGCTGACCTCTCCTGCCTCAGCTTACCTGACTCTTTCCCACCCTCAGCAGAGTCTCCAGGCAGGCCTTCCCTTCTCCTCAGGTGCACCTGCTGTGTAGCTGACTGGGGGACTCTGGCCAGCACTTCCCAAGCTGGAAATGCAAACGTCACCTCTTCCAAGAGGCCCTCCGTGAGCACCTCACAGCTGCCTGCCCTCCATGGCAGCCCCCCTCTCCACCCACTTCTCTCTGAGGGTGTCTATCTTCAGGAACTGTCTTGCTTATAATGCAGCAAATACCTGTAGCAGATAATGTAAGCATTATTTGTTTGCCTGTTTGCTGTGGCCAGGGGCCTGGAATATGTGTGGGTGCAGGGAGCCGGGGGTCTGTTCTTGCTCTCTGCTGTGTCTGGCTTCGAACGAACAGAGAGCATCTCTGCCAAGTGGTCTCAAGTCGGGGGCAAAGGGAGTGTTTTCGTTTTTCACACTTCTGCAGTGTTGAGCTGGATCGCGGGGAGCACGTACTAGGACGTGACATGTATTTTTAAGTGCAGGGTGTCCCTTCCCTCCTCAGATGCTTTCAGTGCCTACCGTCCTGCTCCCCATCATATGCCACATCTTCACTGTGTCCTTTGTGGCACCCTTTGGTGCTTATTTGTGCTGTCTCCTGAGCCAGCAGCTGCCTCCAGCCCTGGTGGCCCACCCACTGCCCTCCAACGCTCAGGACTTGAGCAGACCCCCTCTTGTGGCAGACCCACCATCAGCATTCACTGCCCCGCCCTCACGCTCCCCATGCGGCTCCTTCACCCTGCCTCTGGCTCCTTCTATCCTCTACTGTTCTTTCTCTGACGGACAGACTTGGACCAGAACTCCCAAGTGACTCTTGCCTGGGCTATGGGCGGGAACGGAAGAAACCACAGCAAGGGGCTGTCCTCCCAGGCATCATCCATGAGGGGCTAACCCTACAGAGCAGGAGCAGTGTGGCTACTGATCTAACAGGTGCACCTGCAGTGCAGCGGGCCAAGTGGGGTGAAGGAAAGCTGCTTGAACGGAACCTGTGAGCCGCTGGCCATTGGGTTTCCTCCCTCCAGGTCACCCCGTGTGTCCGCACAGGGAGTGCACTGGGAGCAAGAGGGGGTCCGAACCCTGGCATGACCTCAGCTGCGAGGACCCTGGCCTTACACCCACCCTGGCTGATGACTCCCAGAACTCAGAAGTGGCACGACAGCCTTGGCTTGGATGTCGATGGCCAGATGTCCCCAACATGTTGAGAGAAGCTCCTGATCCACCCTCCCCACATGCTCTGCTCTGAAGGTCAAGGTCGTCCCCATCTCGGCAAACTCCATCCTTCCAGTTACTCTGGCCCAAGCCTCCGAGTCACGGTGACTCTTCTCTCTCATACTGCACATCCAATCCATCAGCCAACCCTGCTGTATCCAGACTCAGCCCCCTCCCCTACTCCACCTCGCCATCCCTGCCCAGGCCCATCACCTCTCGCCTGGATTACTGTGACAGCCTCCCAACTGGGCCCCTGCTTCCGCCCTCGACCCCTACAGTCTAGTCTCAACACAGTGGCCAGAGGGACCTGTAAAAACTCTGGTGAGGTCACAGCACTGCTCCCCTCAGGGGCCTCCCGGAAGCCAGAGGAGTCTGCTCCACCTCTTTTGCCCCCAAACACACACTCTGACCCCTTTCCCCACTCGGCTCTTCCCATTCCAGCCACACCGGCCCCCTCACTGTGCCTTAAGGAGGCCAGGCCAGGCAGGCTCGAGGCCTTGGCAGCTGCTGCCCGCTCTGCTGGGACCCTTCTCCCCAGACGCCCGCACAGCTCGCTCCCTCACTGCCACCTCCACATCCTCAGCAGACAGCATCTCAGGGAGGCCCTCTTGGACCCCCTTTAAAACTGAGGCCCCTTTACATGCCCTCTCCCTGTGTTTTCCTCAATCACGTGTTCACCATCCAACACCCCACACGTTTCTCCCTCCTTCCCAGGGAGGGTCCATCCATGTAGTAACAGTCTTATTGACAGTTCACCTATTTAAAGTATACAGTTGAATGGTTTACGTGTATTTACAGCTGTGCAACCATCACCATAATCTAAATTGGGAACATTTTCATCACAATTACCAGTTACTCCCCGTTCCCCCATCCCCTTTGGGGGAAGGCGAACACCAGTCTCCTTTCTGTCTCTGTAGATCTGCCCATTCTGGACACTTCATATAAATGGAGTCGAACAATATGTGGCCTTTTGTGATTGGCTTCTGCTACAGACCGAATGTTTGTGACCTCCCCCAAATTTCTATGTTGAAACCTAATCCCCAACGTGACAGTATTTGGAAGTGGGAGGTGACTAGGTCATGAGGGTGGAGCCCTCATGAATGGGATTAGGACCCTTCTAAAAGAGACCCTGGAGAGCTGAGGGGGCCCCCTCGCCCCTCCCACCACGGGAGCACACAGCGAGAAGACGGCCAGCTATGCTCGCAAGTGGGCCCTGGCCCGACACCGAATCTGCCGGTGATCTTGGACTTCCAGTCTCCAGAACTGTGAGAAATAAGCATCTGTTGTTTAAGCCCCCGATTCTGTGGTCTTTTTGTGATAGCAACCCGAGCAGACTGAGGCAGTTTTCACTTAGCATCATGTTTTCAAGGCTCGTCCACGCTGCAGTAGGTATTAGAACTTCACTCCTTTTTATGAAGCAGAATTTGATCTACTGAAATGCAGAGTACAAATTTAAAATTTACTTTGCAGGGCAAGCTGGGAGCCACAGCACACTTCACACCCTCCAAGGAATGTCTGCTCTGTCTGGGAGCTGCCGTCCCTGGTAAGCCCTGGGGCGGCATCTGAGCCCGGTTTCCTGCAGGACTGGCAGGGCTGGGCTCTGGACCCACCAACCAGAACGCCGAGCCTGCAGTTCGAGTCTGGAGAAGATAAACCGCGGATGCTGCACGTATGTGGTAGGTAAGGCCACGAAAGCAGACCATCCTATTGTCCCCAAGGAACTAAGGCTCAGTGAAGGGCCACATTCCAGGCACGGCGAGGAGGGAGCGGAATGCAACCTTGGACTAAAACTTGCCCAGAATCACCCTTGACTTTTAATCAGACATTTAAAGATATTTCCTTTTACCAAGTTAAAGGAAATAAAGTTGTCCAAGTAAGATTCTAACTCTAGCAAGTTAAAAACTAACTGCAGTGCTGGCTAACCGTTGTGTCTGAAGATTTTGTCCCGCTCGTTGTCTTGCAGTAGATGCTGACTTTTCTGTAGCTGGAAGCCTGGCTGCCTTTTTATTTTTCTTTTTTGGCCAAAAGGCCTTTTGCCAAAAGAGAGGTTGTAAAGAAAAGGGCCCTTAACAGAGAGAGCTACGCGCAGTCCTGGTGAATGGACAGATGGGGCGTGGTTAAGTTTGGTTGGACCAAGTGTCACGGGTGGGAAATGAGGGGGCCTCCCCCGTCACCAGCCTCCTCAGATGTTGGCGGCACTTGGAACTGTGGCATGTAGATTAGTGGTGCTGTCATTTGCCCCTCCTCCCCAAAAAATCTGTACAAAACTCAGATTTATTAGTTAAGATCTTGTCTTTATCTCCAAATTGGAAAAGAATCTCTTTTGCTCCCAAACTGTAGTTGGGACTGAGAAACAAAAACAAACCAAGAGCCCCAGAAGCTCTGGTCCTGGCATTAATCTCAGCTCCATAAAGGCTGCTCCCGTGCCTGGGAATTGAGCCTTAAGGCCCTGGGGGTGGTGGGGTGGGGACGAATGTATTTCGTATTTCGACACTGCCTTTAGCTTTGACTTCTGGGTGTTATTTCAGACTTATGAAAACAAATACTTAAGAAAAAGGGAGGGGCTATTGAAATCCAGAGGCTGAATTCTGATAGACAGGAAAGTGTCCCCTTTTTTGAAAGGTGTTAGGGAAACCCCTGTGTCCCCAGGAGAGGAGATTTTGAGCCAGGCGCTGGGATTAGCACTTTAAAGGCATCATTTCACAAAAACCCTCACAACCCTGTGACGTGGGCACCTCTGTCGTTCCCACTTTGACAGACGGGAGACTGAGATTCCAGGGGAAGTGACGAGCTGGCTGGCAGCGCCTGGACGGGCTAATGCACTGGTCACCAGCAGGCCACACAGCCTCCGTAATCATCAGCAGACTCCCCTTCATGTCCTGTAAGAGCTGAACATTCCTAAAGGAAGCCACCTTTCCAGAACTTCAAGGCTTTGGAGGGGAGAAGGAAAATGCTCACCAGTCTCCCTCTGGTTGGCTGGCACATGTGCCCTCCCCTTTCCTCCAAGCCTCTGAGGGTCTCTGCCACCCCCCAGCCAGGATGGCTGCTCAGAGCACAGGTTCTTTCTGATAAACAAGGCCCCACCCGCCTTCTGGCTGCTGAGGAAGTGCCGCAGATGGGAGGGCTGCCAGCTGCCAGCGCTGACAGCACCACTAATCTACATGCCACAGTTCCAAGTGCCACCAACATCTGAGGAGGCTGGTGACGGGGGAGGCCCCCTCATTTCCCACCCGTGACACTTGGTCCAACCAAACTTAACCACGCCCCATCTGTCCATTCACCAGGACTGTGCGTAGCTCTCTCTGTTAAGGGCCCTTTTCTTTACAACCTCTCTTTTGGCAAAAGGCCTTTTGGCCAAAAAAGAAAAATAAAAAGGCAGCCAGGCTTCCAGCTACAGAAAAGTCAGCATCTACTGCAAGACAACGAGCGGGACAAAATCTTCAGACACAACGGTTAGCCAGCACTGCAGTTAGTTTTTAACTTGCTAGAGTTAGAATCTTACTTGGACAACTTTATTTCCTTTAACTTGGTAAAAGGAAATATCTTTAAGCATCGCGAGCTGTGCGTTTTTCTTCCTAACCCTGGAGGGGACTAAAGAAGCTAAAATAAAGGAGTTTACGAGGGGGTGACTTGCAAGGAACGGAAACTTTTCAGACATTCCTTTCTTCGTGAAATACCACCTAAAGCGCCTGTGCACTGCCCAGGATGCAGAGCATATTACACATCCCCTGGTACCTGTGCTTGGATAAAGCGCTTTCATATACTTGTGTGCACGCATGCATGTGTGCACGTGTGTGTGTATGATGCCCCCCTAAATATTTATTAAAGTACAAAAGGCTGAAATAGAAGGGGCAGGAAGGTTTGAGGAATGAGCCAAAGATCTCGCTCACAAGTGCTCACACTGTTTGGAGTGATGTCTGTCTTCATTCGATAAATAAGATTAATGATAAACACCAGATTGTGTTTACTTTGTACCAGGCACTGTTGTGAATATTTTGAAAACATTAATTTATATAATCTTCACAACGACCCTGTGAGATAGGCACTACTGTCATCCCCACTTGACAGAAGAGGATCCTGGAAGCCCAGAGAGGTTGAGTAATTTACAGAGGATCACACAGGGATTACCTGTCAGAGCTGGGACCCAAACCCGCTGAGCTATGTTCCCCACTTATTCACGAGTGTTTGCTCTGTTTTACACACTGCTCTAAGCATGTGGACAGCGCAATGAAGGAAACAGACAAACCCCACCCTCAGGGAGCCTATGGTCCAGAGGGAGAATAACAGAAAAGGCAAGTATCAGGGCTGCTAGAGGCGACAAGTGCACAGAGACACAAAGGAGGGGACGCAGACAGGTAGGACTGCGGGGAGGGACGCTGCCGGTTTACAGGTCACCAGGGAAGGGCTCTCTGGAAAGGCAGCATGTGAGTGAGAACTGATGGAGACGAGGAGGACCCAGGGGCTCAGGCAGAGCAAGTCATGTGCCTAAGATTTCCCTCCCCGAAGTGGTGAGTGTAGGCAGGCTGGGCTGCTCTGCCGGGTGACGTGACATTGTGTCAGGTTAAGTGGAAAAGGGTTTCTCCTGCGGCTCTACCCTCCCTCCCTCCCCGTTAGAGCAGAGACTCCCTGCTGAAGGCAGAGATGGGGGGTCTCTCTCGGGCACTTGAGTAAATGCCTGGCACATTTGGAGACCCTAGCTGGGCACTGCACTCCCTCCTCCCACTGACCAAAAACAGGATGGCTGTGGGTAGCCAGGAACAGCCAAGCCGGCAGGGGAGGCCTCCCTCCACCTTCTCCCAGGCTCTGCTGGGGAAGTCTTTTCTCAAGGAGATGAGTTTTTTGGTCTTAACTTCCTGTTTGGTTCTGATCCCACATGGATCCTGCCCATCTGCCAGAGAGCAGGAGAAACAAGCACAGCTCGTGGGGACCTGTGATTTTATACACTTACTGTGATGATAATAACAAAGTTAACATTAATGTAGGATGAACCAGATGCCAGGTACGCACATTACCTCGTTTTACACTCACACCCTATGAAATGTGAATTATCAACATCCCATTTTACAGATGAGGAAACAGAGACACAGAGAAGTAAGGGAATTTGCTCAAGGCCACAGAATTAGCGAGTAGAGACCGGAATGTGGGGAGTCTGAAACCACATTCATCACCACTGTATACACATCTCTCTCTCTCATTCACACACACACACACAAACTGGCCAGGGGACAAGGCTGATGAGGCTGATGGATAGACAAGCAAGTCAGGAGACCATCCCAGAATGTCGAGTGCAGAGCGGATCCACACCCATGGGGCTGGGGGCGGGGGGGGGGGGGCCCAATGGAGGCACCCAAGGCATCACTGGTGGTCAGGGAAGGCCTCCTGGAGGAAGGGGCAGCTGGGCTGAGCCATGAAGAATCACCAGGAGGCAGCTGGGTGTGTGTGCAGGGTGCCAGACCCATGAGGATCCTCAGACTGGGCTCAGGATTAGAGACAAGATCTACAGGCTGCCCGTCAGATAAGGGAGCAGAAGGCAGGGATGGAAGATTCTCCGTCTGTTCGGGAGGCACATGGTAAGGGCTTGCGTCAAATCCCCACGGAAGGTTCAGGAAGTGCTGGCTCCTCTGGCACTGTGCTCAGGCCTGCATCAGCTCATGGAATTGTCCCCCAAACTCTTGTTGGGAAGGAGCTATTTTTAGCCCTCTGAAAGGTCAGCAAATAGGCTCAGAGACCTTCAGCGCCTGGGGTGAGGTCACACCGCTGGTGAGTGAGGGGCCAGCATCTGTGCAGGCAAAGGGGCTACGGGCTGCAGGCTGCCAAGCTTGAGGCACTCGGGCAGGAGGCTGGCTTCTGCGTGTCCCAACTTGTTAGGCCTGCATCTCCAGACTCCACTACTTACTACTGTTTTTCTTTGAGGAAACCCACTTTAAAAAAAACAAGTATCATACATTTTTTTAAATAAAGGAAAGCCTGTAATAGCATTCTGAATGGGAACCAGTTTTCGCTTACCATACATAGAAGGCGCCTGAAATGATAAACGCAGAATGAAACAACACGGTGCGTTTCTGGCCTGAGTCCTGCCTGAAGTCCGCCAGGGAGGCCTGCTCTTTGGTTAGATAAAAAGGGAGGAGCAGCAGGTGCTGGGAGGTGTTAAAGACAGCAGCGCCCACTGGAGCCTTTCTTCCTGGCAAAGTGAGGAGGCTCCACATGACTTCAAAAGGGAACAGCTCTGACGGCCAGGTGAGGACGGTAACACCAGATCCAGGCCCTTCCTACAATTCTATCGGCTACCGCCGGCCGGTGCTTTGGGAACCTGGGGCTCCACCTGAGACTGACCTTGGCAGATCACCATACCTCCCTGAGCCTCAGTTTCTCCCGCTGTCAATTAGGAGGATCGCTTCCTTGGCTTGTAGAGATCTGGGGCTTGGGGATCCTGGAGGTGTTCGGCCTCGGCCAGCTGCACTTGCAACGCTCTCCTCCTCCTACGGCGAGGATCCGGACGCTGGGCGATTGGGGTGGGGGTGGGGGTGGGGAGGCTTACCTGGCGGCCGTGGCCGTCACCGCTTGCAGCGCGCAGCAGCGGGGCTTCCGGCCTCGGCTGGAGGAGTGGCAGGAACACGGGCGGCGGGGCGCAGGGGGCGGCAGCTCTCAGGAGCCAGGTGGCGCGAGGCCGGATCGCCGCACCCACCCTGCCAGCGGGGCCCAGCAGCCCCAGCAGCCCAGCCATGGCGCGCGGGGACGCGCTGTGGCCCGCGCAGCCTACCAGACCCGGAGCGGCGCAGGGGGCGGGGTCCGCCGGAGAGCCCGGAGCGGCGAGGGCGGGGCGGAGCAGGAGCCTCGCGCGGGATGGGCGGGGCCAGAGACGTGCGCAGAGCACTTGACTCCGCCCACCGGCCCCTGCCCTCCGCAGCCGGGGCCGCACCGGGTGGGTGGGGCGGAGCAGGAGCCCGGCGCAGAATGGGCAGGACCAGGGGGGCGTGTGCACAGCACTTGACTCCACCCCCTGGCCCCGCCCCTCCAAGGGGAGAACCGCGCGCCTCTTCCGACTCTAGTCTTGGAATTCATGCGGCCGCGATTCTGCGGAGTTATATTGGTCACAAGCGAGTCAGAAGCCAGACCAGATTCGAGTGAGGGGGTTAGACTCCTCCAGCTTGATGGAAAGTGGCAAGGTCACGTGTCGAAAGGCTTGTGGGAGGGGAAATATTGTTGTGACCATCTTTGGAAAATACAATCTGCCGCAGTTTCTATAACTGTTAACTGATAATATAATAATCTTTGGTCTCCATTCTACAGATGAAACTGAAACTCAAGGAAATGGAGAACAGCTTATCCTTGTACACTTCTCGTGCCTGACCCCTCGTAGCATTTTTTGGTTGAAACTAAAAGGATCCAAATTGTTTCTAGATCTTTGCTATTTTAGGCAGAAAAGGATTTAGCACAGGGAATAGGTGCTTGGAAGATCATTGGAAAAGCTGGAAGAGTGGGCACTAGGCTGGGCTCCCAGGAAAGACTCCCTGGACAGGGCAACACCAGCCAGCCAGAGGAGCTGCCCATTCAGCCAACTGGGAAGGTGGGCATCAGGAGTCTCCAGTGGAATGAATAAATGCTAGAACACACTGCCAGAGCTGTGATCCAGGCATCAGGAAACTGCTGCCACTGCACCTGCCTTCCACCTCCCACAAAACATGTCACTGGACACTGGAAAGCAGGGTCAGGCGTTGCCTCTGCTCAACTGCCTGTGCATGCCCTGAATTCTGCTGCAGAAAAGCCCCACACCTCTGCAAACTTGCTCACTAGCAGCAAACAGCCCAAATGACAGAAAGATGCCTCTGCTCCGTTTCTACCTTCAAAATATTGTGCAAGTGCATCCAATTGGCAGAAACTAATTCTTATCCAGAAACCTGGCTGCAGAGGAGTCTGGGAAATGTTAGCTTTTCTGCCAAGAGAGTACACTGGAAAGAGATGAGAATTAATGTGCCCAAATTCAGTACCTCAGCAAATCCAAACCCTTTCAGGAACCCCCACCTTGAGAAGCCCCTTATGGCTCATAGGCTAGAACAGTGTCACATGATCACTCTTAGCTGCAAGAGAGTCTGGAATTTGAGGATACAGGAGAAGGAAACAGTCTTGGCTTGGATGGGAGCAGGCAGGTTGTGTTCCTGAACACGATCGGGGTTCCGTTGGCAGGGAGGTAGAGGAGGTAGGCTGCTGGGGGGCTGGTAACTCACAGACGGTGCCACTGGGCTGTGTGTGGCAGTGAGTGTGAATAACACGGGGAGTGCATGTGTGCAGGTGGGAAGCAGCACACATGAGTGTGTGAATGTGATGGGGTTGAGACTGAAGGGGCCTGAAGTGCTGAAGGAAGGAGAAAGGGTTTTCCCTTCTGGTGGAGGACCCACTTACTCCCAGTTTCCAAGGGAATATAACATTAATCTGCTCTGGGACTGAGGACCTCTGATTACTCATTGTGGCTTGGTTCTCTAGGAATGTGGGAGATAGAATCTGGAGCACATGCAGAGAAATTGTGTTCAAATAGAAAGTGGACAGTGTTTTGAACAAATTGCTGTGTTTTCTCCTAATGTGTGTTCTCTGACCATTCCTGGGTCTTCTTTAGGACAAAAGCTTTTTATTCCAATTCTCCTCTCTTTGTCAGATACTGCAGTGACCATTCCAAACGTTTTCTCCCCATCTGGAATCCTCCCTCCTCCCTGATGCCTCCTCTCTTAGCACATGCCTTCTCTTCCTACTTCTGGTGGAAGCTGAGTCCTCACTGATGGTCGCAGCCTACCTCCCGATTTCCGTGTACGTCGCTCCCCAGCTCTTTCTGCTTCTGCTCTTTTCCCAAGGCAGATCCAACCACCCATGTCTATACATCAGTTCTTCCCTCCTCTGTGTTCATTTCCAATCAGAATTCATTCTTCGGAACACCTGCCGTGTGCCAGGTGCTGTGCTGGCAGCAGATGATACAGTGAAAGGAAGGCCTTGTGGGTTCCAGGTTTGGTGGTAGCATCATGGCTTTGGCGGGGGCAGGTCTCGTTTAGAGCCTGGCTCTGCCCTGAGCCTTTGGTAAGTGACTCTTACTATCTAAGTCTCTGCTTCCTCTCTTGGAAGAAGTGGGAGTACTAAAACCAGTCTCAAAGGGTTACTGGGAAGCTTAAGTGAGATGACATGTTTCAGTGCTTATAGAACTGGGCCTGGCACAGGGTGAGGACTGAAGAAATGGAAATGGAAAGAAATGGCATTTCTTTCTTTTTTGTCTGCCTAGCTCCTTCTTTCTATGGAAGAGTGCTCTCCTCCTTCCCTTATGTAGTTTGGGTGAGGCAGTCAAATCTCAGTGCCCCACCTGCCCTCTGGTCAGGGAATGGGCTCAGGAGCCGGATCTTGCCAAAGTACCCCCGTCCCTGGTATTGATAAAAATGGGGTCATGCTGCATATCTGCATTATAACAGGACTTTTTCATTTAATATGTCACTAATGTCTTTCCTGTTGAAACCATAATTGTGGAATATTATTTAAAAGCTGCGGAGTATCCTATAATATAGATGCACCATGATTCATTTAATCCAGTCCCCTGGTAATGGATGTTATGGACTGAATGTTTGTGTACCCTCCCGAAATTCATATGCTGAAGCTCTAACCTTCAATATGATAGTATTTGGAGATGGGGCCTTTGGGACGTAAGTAGAGTAAGATTAAGTCGTGAGGATGGGGCCCTCATGTTGGGAATAGCACCCTTAGAAGAACTGGAAAAGACAGCAGAACTCTTTCTCTCTGCCACGTGAGGGCGCAGTGAGAAGGCAGTCAGCAAGCCGGGAAGAAGGCTCTCCCAAGAGCCCCACCCTGCTGGCGCCCTGCTCTTGGCCTTCCAGCCCCCAGAACTGTGAGAAAATACATTTCTGTTGTTGAGCACCCCCACCCCCGGCAATGGTGTTTTGTTACGGGAGCCCAGCAGACTAATATAGATTATAATGGATATATAGGCGATTTCCATTTTTTTCTATGGTAACTTGAATTTAGTTGCCCAGTCTACCAGCCCTTTTCCCAGTCCCCAGCACTCGTGATGTCTTGCAGCAGCAGATCTGTCAGTCACCCTCTCCTTGAAGCAGTCTCATCCCTTCGTTGACGGCTCATTCAACAGGTACAGGGGGCCGCCCACTCGTCCGGAGTTGGCTTCCATCACACAGCGCCTGCCAGTTCTTCTCCGTCTCTGAGCCAGGGTCTGGGGAGGCAAGCAGGTCAGAGTTGGGTTCTGGAGCTCGTGACACTGGTTGTGCGGACCTGAGGAAGGTGTGTAACCTCCTTGAACCTCAGCTCTCTTTTTCTGTAATATGGGAATAACGGCATGTGCCTCCACAGCTTCCTGCAAGAAGGAAATGCAATGTGTGCATGGCGGGCGTGGGATCAGGGCCCAGAAGGCTTCATCCCCGTCCCCCTTGCCTCCACCTCCACACAGACAGCCTTATGGGGCATCGTGAAGGAAGGAGGAGAGCAGAGCAGAACCCGTGACTCCAGCCTCTGGGGACCACTTCTGAACTGGAAACTGTGCAAGCATGGGCTGTCATCTCTTGTAGAGGCAGTCACGTGCATTCTCTCTTTGTTCAGCAACTATTTTTTTTAGCATCTGTGTCATGCTTGGCTCTGTGCCAGGCACAAAGGGGGATGGAAGAAATACAGGTCAAGGCCCTAGTCATTGAAATGACAGTCACAAAAAGAACCCTTGAGCTCCTCCATTCCCAGGACACGGGACTTCCTCACCCCTTAAGCCAGTGTGGAGAGCGTCCAGTGGTATCTGCCGCCATCTGCTTTGGAGTGACCCCTTTCTCCTCCTGGCCCATCCCATGGAAGGTCTATCCCTGTTTGAACCTGGGACTGACTTTGGGTCGTCATCTCTGCTTTCCTCCATCACTTTGGGGAAGAACTGTGGCTAAGAAATGGGCCATGGGGGCAGACAGACCTGGATTTGATTCTGACTCAGCCACTAGCTGTCACCCTTGCAAGTTGCTTCAGCTCTCTATGCGTCACAGTCCTCGTCTCCGAAATGGAGACAGTGATAGTAAACACGTTAGTTCCGTGTGAGGTTTAAATCAGATAACTCTTAGGAGTGTTAGCCTAGTGCGGGCATGTGGCTCAGAAAATGTGAGTTATGAAGAGGAATTCTGATTCCTCCTGCCCCAGGTTCCTGCCTGGTTGGGTTTTGTCTTCTTGTTTCCATAAATGAGGTGGAAGATCAGTCCAGTGCATTGGGACTAATGGCATTTTATGGCTTGGGGCCAAGAGCTGGGGCTTTGGGGTCGTATCGCTTGGGGGTACGTTCCCACTTTACTGTGCACTAACCGTGTGACTGGGCAAGTCACTCAACATCTCTGTGAACCTCAGTTTTCTCATCTGTAAAATGGGAATGATAATAGTGCCCACCTCTCAGGGGTGCTGTGAAGATTAAGAGAAATCATGCACTTAGGGTGCTGGGCATGGGGTACACATAGTGCCCCCCGAGAGCTCATTGTAGTGAGCACAGTGCCCATCATTGTTTCCCTTCATTCATTCATTCTGAGAAGAGGGTGAATGGTATGGGCTTTGGTTATGTCCGCTGAGAAAAATGGTAGCTTACTGGGGGCGGGGGTGCTGATATGCATTCTGGGAATCTCCCCCCACCCCCAGCTGCCTTTGAGATGGAAACGGATCGCTTCCCAGTGCGCAGAAAGGATCTCGATTAGCTGGGACTATGATGTCTGAAGATTCTTTTTCTGTACAATGTCTGAAATGGTTGCTAATGAGAATGTCTGAAGTAGTTACTAATAACCGTTTAAAGACTCCTGACTCATGTCTGAGAAGCATGGGGATTAACAGGAAATAAAATCAATATCCATCAAGCAAACCAGCGCCTGCCTGTTCTATTGGCCTTTGTGGCGTTTTTAAAAGCTCATTGATTTTTTTTTAAATAATAAATCATGCTTGCTCATTGTAAAAAGTAAAATTCAAACGACATAGCCAGAAGTTTCATTTATTCATTCAATAAGCATGTTTCGAGCACCTATGCAGTGCCGGGCACCCAGCCGTGAACTAGGAGGCAAAAAGTCCCACGGGGCTTATGCTCTGCTGGGGAAGTAGAATTTGTGATAAAATCTCCTGCCAACCCAGAAAACCTTTCCACAAAATAGGAGAAAGAAAACAGCTTTATTATTAAAGAAACATTGAAGTGGAATGTGATGCATATCACAGGGACCCGCTGAAGAAACTGCAAAGCCAGAAGGAAATCTCACCCTTGCACACAGCTGGGCAGACGCAGCCTCTTACAGCCATGTTCTCAAGATACATAGTAACTAGTTCTCGAGCAAGAGGACTTGACGCTGCCAAGGGTCACACATGGTTCATCCTCAATCCACTGGTAATTGGGGCGGCCACTTGTGTTTGCTAGTTGCCTTTATCCAAAGCGATAATAAACTTCTCATATCTCTACAAGGAGCACGTGATTACAACACGGAGTTCATCAAGTGAAACCCTCATGTAGAATAGGAGATGGGGTACTGTCTTCCTTGATGTTTACATTTCAAAGAGATGACTCTCAAACTTTTTTTTTTGGTGGGGAAGATTGGCCCTGAACTAACATCTGTTGCCAATCTTCCTCTTTTTTTGGCTTGAGGAAGATTGTTGCTGAGCTAACATCTGTACCAATCTTCCTCTATTTTTTCTGTGGGATACTGCCTCAGCGTGGCTTGACGAGCAGTGCTAGGTCTGTGCCTGGGATCTGAACCTGTGAACCCTGGGCCACTGAAGCAGAGTGCACGAACTTAACCACTATGCCACTGGGCCGTCCCAACAAACACTTTCCTGGATTGTAAAAACTGGCAAGAGGCTTATTTCACCTTTAAAATGGTTTACATACATTTCAAAGGGGTGGAGAAAGAATTTACAAGTTTTCTAAAGGAAATGTTCTAAGAAAAGGAGGAAGTCATCTCTTCTTTTTTTTGCACCAGGGAAAATTAATTATTCTTCTTTTTCAGTTTGCTTTTACCCTCACAGCGACAGCCGTTAGACAAATAAGTACACCCTATGCTATCAGGCAGGAGTAAACACCACGCCGAAGCGAAGTACAGGACTGGAGAGTAATGGAGGTGTGGTTTTAGATGGGGCCGTCTCTAGGTCTCCCTGAAGAATTCTGGGGGCCCAGAGCCCAGAGCAAGAAGCAGGGAACACCCTCCCAGCAGGAGCCAGCATCAGCTGCTTTTTGTGCCATTCTGGGCAGCTTTCTATGTAACAACAGTCACATCTGCTTGCTGTTTTGTTTGTTCGTTTTTTCCCAAAATGGCAAATGTTCTCATTTGCTTTTTCCACCCACTGTCCCGTCAAGGACGAGTTGGTAAATGTCCACGTTGGTAAATGTGGAGCGGATTAATCTTCCTTTAAAGGGCTACACTGTGTTCCCTTGGTGATCGTGCCAACGGTGGCTTACCTCTTCCCTGTTGGTGGATGGTTAGGATCTTCCTGGTGGAAATTGAGAGCATGAACTCTTCAGTGAAGGCCGGCTTCAAGCTCGGCCGTACCACTTGCATCCTGTGTGACACTGGGCAAGTTACGGAACCTGTGCCTCTGTTTCCGCACACACAAGCCAGGGATGGTAATACCAGGTCTGTGATGGAGTCATTTCCAAGATTAAGTGTATTAATGCATGTAAAGTGCTTAGAATAGCACCTGGCTCAGAGCAGGCCTGTATTGGTGCCAGCTATTACTGATACCAAGCAATGGGCTTGCTCTACTCACTGCAATCTGAGCCAATTAACCACAATGAGTTAGAGATCGAGAAAGGAAAGTTTAATTAGATTAGCTGGCTAATTGGAAGATGGGTGACTAATGTCTCAAAAACCCATCTTTAAGGATTTCGGAATCTTTTTTTTTGTAGGGGGGAAGATTAGCCCTGAGCTAACATCTGCCGCCAATCCTCTTCTTTTTGCTGTGTAAGACTGGCCCTGAGCTAACATCTGTGCCCATCTTCCTCTACTTTATATGTGGGACGCCTACCGCAGCATGGCTTGCCAAGCGATGCCATGTCCACACCTGGGATCCGAACCAGCGAACCCCGGGCTGCCAAAGCAAAACATGCGTACTTAACCGCTGTGTCACCGGGCCGGCCCCAGGATTTCAGAATCTTGAGGGAGTTATATAGGGAAAATGGGCAGTGAGGAAGGGGTCCAGGGATGTTGATCTCCAGGTGTCACAGGCTCCAAGCATCACATTGTTCCATTCTTCTGTCAGCTATGATAGAGACCTTGTAGGTGTGTTTCCCACCTGTCATCACCCTGTTCCTAGAGAGAAACTCGTAGAACAAAGTCTTAATTTATCAACTATTGGGGAGTACATATGTAAGCTGAGGGAGCATGGGGGCCGGCCCCGTGGCCGAGTGGTTAATTTCGTGCCCTCTGCTCCGGCGGCCCAGGGTTTCGCTGGTTCGGATCCTGGTCGCGGACATGGCACCACTCATCAAGCCATGCTGAGGCGACGTCCCACATAGCACAACCAGAACTACAACTAGAGTATACAACTGCGTACTGGGGGGTTTTGGGAAGAAGAAGAAAGAAAAAAAAGAAGATTGGCAACAGTTGTTAATGCAGGTGCCAATCTTTAAAAAAGAAAAGAGAGAGTATGTGAATTTTTTAGAGTACACGCAGAGCAGCGAGTAGTCACACAGAGGAGGGGCTGGGGCCATTTAGTGTAACAAGATGGCCTCACTTATGCTCACTTACATTATTACTGTAAATTGTATTAATTATTACTGATTGTTCTCCCATCATGGTTGTATGTGTCTTGTCCTTCCTTCCTTCCTTCCCTCCCTCCCTTCCTTCCCCCCTCAAATATTTATTGAGTGTCCAAGATCTGCCCAGTTCTGTGCCACGCGCTGTGAAGCAGGAGTGGATGTTCCGGGCATGGTCTCTGCTCTTACAGAGCTTAGAGTTGGGTGGCCTGATGGACAGTGAACAGCTAGCAGAATGACGATGGCATCACGAAGGTGGCGGGTGGTGGGTGATCAGAAAGGTTTCCTTGAGAAGGAGGCCTGGGACCTCTGAATGGTGCAGAGGAGCAGACATGGAGCCTTCAGTGGGAAGAGGCTGCCAAACAGAAGGACGGCCTGGGTGCATTTCCAAAGGAAGAAGAGAGCCTGGCGTGTCTAGGGGCTGAGGAGTCAGAGGAGGCCTGAGGGGCCAGGGCACAAGGAGTGAGGGGCCAGAGCTGGGCTTGGAATAAGTTGCCAAGGGCCAGATCAATGCATTTTATTCTAGCTGTGGGGGGTGAGTGGTGAAGGGATTTAATCAGGAGACTGACACAATCTGATGACCGTGTCGAACAGGTTCCTCTGCCTGCTGTGTGGAGGACAAGTTGGAGGAGGCAAGATGAGAAGCAGGGAGCCCCGTTGGGAGGACTTTGCAGAACTCTGGGCGAGAGAGGACGTACCTTGGGCTCTGGTGGTGACCTTGGGGCCACGTGGGAGGACGTGAGAGACACATGGGAAACCTGGAGGTAAGGCGAAGAGACTGAGGACTCTGGATTGTTGGAGGAGGTCATCCAGAAGACGTGACCCCTGGTTGACCTGCGACCTGGACCCCAGCAATCAGAGGCCCCTCCTCCCTCCCTTGTCCTTGGCGTGTACGTTCCGCCCACTGTTCCCACAGCTGGAACCGTTTTCAAGGATGCAGCCTTGAGAGAACAAGGTGTCCCTGAACCATCAGGATGGTACATGTGACTGAACCCCACTAAGGCCTCTCCATAAACTTTTAAGATTCTGGTGGGCGGGGGCCGAGATCCACTCATCTTGCGTGGCACCCGAGACAAGCCTGGTGCCTGAGCTCCTTGCTGGTTAAACTGCCCCCTCCCAGCCTGGAGCGGCCTGCCTCTGTCTTGCTCTCTCCTGCCCTCCAGGGAGGGGGGCCAGTGTCTGATTTCACCCGGGGAGCCCCCACCATTGGGAACCAAAGGGATGAAAGCAGGACTTCACCATGCGCGCCAGAGGGATGTTGGGCATCTACTGAGTGGGGAAGAGGCACGAAGAGCCAACATGTGGGGTAAGTCAAGATTTGCCTTTGGGAAAGTTATGTTCCAGGGTCTGCGTGAGATGTTAGTGGGAACTCAGAGCTGCATTTGTCTCTGAAACCTCATCCCTACGGGGTCTCAGCACGTTGGGACAGTTCTCAGACTTCAACACACAGGGACATTTTAAAGTGACGTTGATTCTTGGATGACTGGGAGTGTGTGCATGCATGCACCAATCTCTCCTTCGTCTCTCAGCAATTAGAAAGTGTTGCTCATCTGTCTCCCCCAGTTGGCCTTGAGCTTCACGCACTGTTACGGGTCTTGAGCCAGCTCAGTGTGGCCTAGAACACTGAGTTCCAGCCTGGCCCCTCCACTGACTGGCTCCTAGGAGTGACAAGCAAGTGATTTGACCTCATTAGCCTAATACGGTTCTCCGTCTTCTTTCTGTAAGATAGGGACACATACCCAGGGCCATCGTGCCAATGAGGAACTCGGCAGGCCATAAAAATGCGTGGAGGGGTCTTTGGGGAAAACAAAGCCATTTGGTTTACTTGGTTTCCCCCTTTTAATAGATTACCAAGAAAAAAGGTGAGAGGTGGGGAGATATTGCCAAAATCTCTGCAAGAAGAAAATTTTTTATTCCTTCTAGATGTGGGCTGTGGGCGTTTGAGTTTCAGTCCTGTGCTTGCTAACTGACCTTGGCCAAGTTCCTTAATCTCTCTGAGTTTATTTCCTCGTCTGTGAAATGAGGATAAGAATGCTACTGACGTATGGGAATGCTGAAGGCTCTTACAATAGAGCCGGCAGCTATAAATCCACCATACCTGCCATCATGCTCCTGCTAGACCAGAGGAC